AGTATTAGTCCGTTCTTTCATGAAAATAAAGCCTAAGAGCATAAGTATAAGGTACACTTCAGTTTTCATGCGTCTGCAGACAGTTGTAGGGAGGTGAATTCTTATTGCTCAACCTTGTGGTTGTGTGAGAGAGAAGGCTCAAGACTGCCTAGTTGTCCAGTCCTTGTGAAGAGGAATGTAAGTGCTAAAATATGAATTTCTTTTGCAAGTCTTATACAAATATTTTAAAAGCAATTGTAGAAGATAGATAGAGTAATAAAGAGCTGCTTCTGTTTCCTAAACTGAAATTGAGTGCAGACGTTTTCTCTAAGAGCATGAAAACGGCATTGACCTATGGTGGTTTACGTTCTTTTTCTCTGGCTTCACTGACTGGGTGTAACTGCCAGTGATCCATGGAGAAATTGAGAGAGTAGTAATCTGCCCTGAAGTTCTTTAGGATAGATTCTTCTTCTTTCTCTAGCCTTCCTGAGCTGATTTAGTGATCCTGAGCTGTAAAGAGTAAGGTGAAACATGCTATCTACCTCTTTTTTCCTACCTAACTGAAGGACAAGGTTGCAAAAAAATAAGTTGCAAAGTCCAGGATTTCTTCATCGGTGTAATTTCTTATTTGATGTTAACAGGTCTTAATTTAGTCAATTGGTATCTAACTTGAAGTACAAATATTATTTAGGATCAATATACTTTCTAAAGTGTGGTTGTATTCCTTTTTGAGAAAGGGTTATACTGAAGTTCCTTAAAGCATGTTATAGCAATTCCTTGTAGCAGTCTGCGTGTTAATCAAGAAACCTGTTTGAGAGAGAACTTACTGACTAAGTCCAAAGTAAGTTCTTTGATAGAAATGGGCTTCTATCCAAACACTTTCAATTTCTGTGAGATATCTGATGTCCATAATTGGACCTATTAATTCATATGCATGTTTTCTATTCTAGCTTCTTTGTGTTCTAGGTCTGGTTTGCTTTACCTGGTTTATGAACATTAAATTTATTGTTTGTACTTCATGCATCTTGATTTAGAATCATCAGCCAGAAATATTCCAAAGAAAACAAGATCTGATTCTTTAATGAATATTGATGACTCTAAATAGCAATGTATGGAACAGAAAGCACATAGCATGGGGTTCTAATAATAAGGAATATTGAGTTCAGCAGACAACTTATTTCAACTAGTAATGCAGCCAAATTAAACAATCGAAACATTTTAAGACCCTTTTATGTACTGGCTTTTATATACTGCACTTGTTTTGCCTTGTCGTTTTAAAAAGACCCTTTAACTTTTTTCCTCATTGAAGTACCAGTCAAATGAGTTGCTGTTGGGAGCAGTGATAGGTATTTGTATTGTAGCGGTCTCTCATGTCTGAGCACAGTACTTCTGGCAGATTGTTGTTGAAACTGGGATCATGAAGAAATGAGATGTGTGATCATTATTAGTAGCTCCTTTTTGAAGTTGCTTAAGTAAGTGGTAAAATTTGGCAGAGGAGAAAAGTGGAATTACTTATTTTTCACTTCAAAGCCCATTGAAGTAAGTTAATGGAAAAGAGAGAAGCACTCGTGAAAAACTTTGGAATTTCCTCCTGTATATCTGGAGAGATACTGTGAGTTTTCTTTTAGTTTCTCATTCCTAGTCAGTTACCAGAACCAAGAGAGGAATAAGAGTCTACATTACTTCACAAAAATATAGTGTAGTGGATACAAACAAAAGAGTATTTAAGCATTTGCAGAGCACCTGTTCTGTGTTTGTTTAGAAAGATAAGTATCCCTTTCATATAGGAAGTTTCAGAAATATAGTAAATATTGAACTGAAAGTGAATGTAAATAGTGAAGAAGAAAAGTGAAATAGTGTGAACCTATGTTGAAGAGAGTTTTTGGGACTTGATTAATTTTTTAAAAAGCATTTTGCAACTAGTAGTAGAGCAGTGCATTAATTCCTGAATATTTTTCTGTTAGTCATTTGGACTTGCTGTCATTAAGACCACAGACAGTGGTAGCATTTTGGCTACCACTAAACATAATGGCGTAGGGTTCCACAGGTCTGAAGCTTTTCTTCTATCCATACTCGTCTCTTCCCCTCCATCCCCGAATGTTTGTGTAGCATCTGCTTCCAAAGTCATAGTTATGAGACTTTTTTCCTCCCAATCATACATCTGGGAAACTTCCTTCAAAAGGAGTGAAGCTAGTATAAAATCAGTATCCATAACTTAAAAAAAACCAAAAA